ATGCAGAGTTCTTAGTTGGATGTACAGGGAGCCTCTCAAGTTATCTTTTTGGACTGGGTTAATTGGGTTGACAATACATTTAAGTCTTTGACATTGTCCGACTGCAGCGATGTGCTTTGTGTATTGGCCCAGGCCATCCTTGGCTATGCAAGCCTGCTATGCATTATAATTATGTAAGAGCAGTCACTCTTGTTAAACAAAGAACTATATTTTAATATACGTAAGTCTGTAGAAAAATTACGTTGGGCAAAGGTGGTTTATTGTGTGAATTTTCGACACTGGGTCACCAGGTCGTCGTCATACAGATGGGAATTGTACGAAACAGTTAATCCAAAATGATGGCTAACAAAAGCTTATACAGTAGGTCGGAGTAATAGTTGATAATCGTCACCCGCATGTGATTATGCGGTCAGTGGGGAAGAAAACAGTTGTCACTTAAGTCTAGATAAGGGTCACAAGCAAATGTTCTAACGAATTTCTACCCATCTGTTTTTCCATATACGATTGTTTGTAGTTTAGAAAATCGTTACTTCTAATAGTCTTCATATCTGAGGAGACGAAGCCCCCGGCAACGTTTTTGCAACACAGCTAAGCGGACTGTTGCGCGTGAGGTCTGCCGCATATTTTCACAGTACTGCCCCGCAATGTCTGTTGGAACGGAAGACAGCAAGCTCTTTAAAGCAAACATCGATTATCGACTTGACCATAGAATTATTGGGCAACACGTCTGCCCATCGCAGCTACATGCTTGAATAGCTGTTTTTAACACGATACCGGCAGTTAGTGAGTAGCGCTGGTAGTCGGGGGCACTGCGCACTTTTTGGTCCAACATGCTTCCTTCTTCTGACTGTCTGCCTTTGTGTAGTGTGCATAGAACCTTGAATTTTTTGACGTTAACTCTTGTTGCGAAAAAGGTTTATCGGAAATTTAAACCTACTCCGTTACTAGGTTTTGAGAAAGATATGCCTGATGCCGTAGTTAGCTTGCAGATGTTACTTGAAGCGCAATGTTCGTCTGTATTGCTTCTGGAATGGGTGAAGCATACTGAGGTGTCTTAAAACACGCGCCATTGAAAGCTTTACCCTAGAGAGTCCAGTTATCTGGCGTGCCTTAACACGTAGCCGGCAGTCGCGAGAGCTGCATTTTTTACGAAATTTTGCATGCTTACTTCGGCCCTGCATTTATCTCTGGTTTCCTGGTCTACCCTTTGCATTTTTTGCTTTCGCGATGGGAATTTCTTTCATTATATTTGCGTATAGGGATCATAATCGCGAGTCCGGCGTTATTTATACGCGAACCATTCTTACAGAAATGGGCGCAGACCAATTGATTGGTTTACCGAAGCAGGCAAATTCCGAACAGCCTCAAAGTTCAACCGTCGATTTTGACGATGTTCACCGTTTGCTCTGAAGCGGTCTAAACAGTGGTTGTACTTGAAGCACTACAATCATCAGATCGATTCCCAGGTAGTAGATAAAAGGTAAGAGTCCCCAGAGTGAGGGTTTTATTGTGCACAGAACACGAAGTTGCTGCCACGGGCAGCAGTGGCCACTAGCGAAGCCAGGGCTGATGTTGACTGCGTCCAGTCTTGCCCCAGAGTCTGACCATGTGTTGTGTCAGAGTGTCA